GTTTTTAATCACTGAATATTATTCCACTGTTTGTACATGCTACAGTTTATTTATTCATTCTCTTGTTGAAGGGCAGTTTTGACAACTATGAGTAAAGCATCTCTAAAGGTTTGCATGCAGGTTTTTGTGTAGACATAAGATTTTGAAGCAGTTGGGTAAATATCTAGGAGCATAATTGCTGGATTGAATGGTTAAGACCAATTTTAGCTTTGTTTAAAAATACCAAAGTGTCTTTCAAAGTGGTTGTACCATTTTGCATTCCCACCAACAATGAATAAGAGTTCCTATTGCTCTGCATCTTCACCAACAATTTGTATTGTCAGTTTGGGGAGTTTAGCCATTCTAATAGGTGTGCAGTGGTATCTCAGTGTTGCTTTCATTTGTGATTCCCTAATTACAAAGAATGGTCTTTTCTTATGCTTATTTGCCATCTACATATATTCTTTAGCGAACGGTCTGTTCAGATATTTTGCCTATGTTTTAATTGGGTTATCTGTTTTTTATTGTTGAGTTTTAAGAGTTCTTTGTATATTTTGGACACAGATACTTTATCAGATATATGTTTTGTTAATAATTTCTTCCCGTCCATGGTTTATCTTTCGATTCTCTAAACAGTGTCTTTCACAGAGCTGATGATTTGAATTCTAGTAAAATTCAATTCATCTAATATTTTTGTATCATGGATTATGCTTTTGGTGTTACATCTAAAAACTCCTCACTGAACCCAAGGTCACCTAGATTTTCTCCTATGTTTTCTTTTAGTTTTATCCTTTTGCATTTTATATTTAGGTCTGTGATCCATTTTGAGTTAATTTTTGTGAAAAGTCTAAAGTCTATATCTCGGTTATTTTATTATTTATTTATTTAGCATATGAACAACCAGTTGTTCCAGCACCATTTGTTGAAAAGACTAGCCTTTCTCCATTGAATTGTCTTTGCTCCTTTACCAAAAATAAGTAGACTGTATTTTGTGGGACTATTTCTGGGCTCCCTATTCTATTCCACTGAAATTTGTGTGCATTCTTTAATCAATACTATCCTATGTCTTGATCACTATAACTTTAAAGTAAGTCCTGAAATTGGATAATGTGAGTCCTCAAACTTTATTATTCTTCTTCAGAATTGTGTTAGTTATTCTAGAAGTATTCTATTTCCATTTAAACTTTACAATCAGTGTTTCAGTCTCAATAACATAGCTTGCTGGGATATCAATTGAGATTGCTTTAACGTGTATGATTTTCCTTGTCCCTGAAAAACTTCTTTTACCATTTCTTGTAAAGTAGGTTTACTGGTAAGGAATTCCCCCAGTTTTTGTTGCTGTGAGAAACTCTTTATTTCTTCTTCACTTTTGAAGGACAATTTTGCTGGATTCAGAATTCTAGGTTGGTGAGATTTTTCCTCTCAACACATTCAATATTTAAACCAACTGTCTTCAAGTTTGCATGGTTTCTGATGAGAAGTCCAGCATAATTCTTATCCTTTTTCCTTGACAGCACTGTTCTTTTTCTCTGTCTTCTTTCAAGATTTAATCTTTATCTTTGGTTTTCTACAATTGAACATGATAAGCCTATATGTTGCTGCTGTTGTTGTTGTTGTTGTTGTTGTTGTTGCTGTTTTCATATTTATCCTGATTTACATTCTCTGAGCTTCCTAGATCTGTTGTTTAATTAATTTTGGAAAATTCTCAGCTATTATTACTTCAAATATTTCTTCTGCTCCACTGTGTCTTTCTTCTCCTCAGTATTCCAAGTACAGGTATGTTACACCCTTTGAAATTGACCCTTAGTTCTTGGATGCCCTGTTTGGTTTTATTTTTTGTTTGGGGGCTGGTCTTTTCTTTTGTTTGTTTGTTTCAGTCTTTTTGTTTAACCTTTGCATTCAGTTCAGATAGTTTCTATTGACCTATCTTCCAGCTCACTGATTCTTTTCTGGGCTGTGTCCAGCCTACTGATGAGCCAATGAAAACCATTATGTATTTCTAGCATTTTTAAAATTATTTCTTAGTGTTTTTACCTCTTTGTTACATTATTCATCTGTGCTTGCCATGTTGTCTACTTTTTCCAATAGAGCCCTTGATATACTAATCACAGTAATTTAAAAGTCTCCATCTATTAATCCCAAAGTCTCTGCCACATCTGAGTCTAATTATGGTGCTTGGATCATTACTTTGTCTCTTCAGAGTTTATCTCCTTGCCTTTTTTATGACTTGTAATTTTTTTGTTGAAAGTCAGACATGATGTATCAGGTAATGGAAGGAGAGATAAGTAGGTCTTTAGTATGATATTTTATATTCATCTGGTTAGGAACTGGGCTGTGTGCAATGCTTTCTCTAGCTGTAGGTGCCAAATTCTTCTAGTGTCCCTTTTTTTGTTTTACCTGTTGTCTTTGAGCTTCCCCTAAGAATACCTCCTCAGACAGAGTCTGTGTCTTTTAACTCATTGCGCAATAATGCACTGTTATTATTCTGGAGTCCTGTTGATATAGTTGCAAGGTATAAGGGAGAAGTAATTTATAATCTTAAAATTCAGTCACTGTCTTTTAATGGGTTTCTGTCCTTAAGCTATGACTTTCACAAATGTTTCTTATCTTTTTCCCTTCCCTCATATGACAGTAGCTAGATGGGGCTGGGATAGGATAAATGCCACTTGTGTAAGAACCTGGATTTCTGATGTCCAAGGCCAGGAGGAGAAAAGTGTCTCAGTTTCAGAAGAGAGAGGTGGAGGAAATCACCTGTCTTTGCCTTTTTTGTTGGAAACCAACTGGATGTTCCCTGCCAACATTGAGGATGGATCTTCCTAAGTCCATCAACTTCCAGTCTCCTCTGGAAATACCACACAGACACACCCAGAAGTGATGCTTTACCAGTTCTCTACGTATTCCTTAATCCAGGCAAGTTGACATCTAAAATTAACCATCAAAAAAACAAAATCTCTTTCTTTATGAACAAAATTACCATATTTCAGTAGCCTATGCCCCAAAAAGGCTGTAGAACTGATTTAAAGTCAAATCCTTACCGTTTTTGTTCAGAGAAAAGAGTAAAGGAAGATAAGAACATCGCTTATAATTACCAAAAAGTTTTATTTAGCTAAGATCCAAAAGTTTCAACTTGTAACAGAAACCCAGAGTCAAAAACTAAAATCCGTGAAAAGTCCATTTAAAAGAAAAGGAAGGTCTGAAGTCACACGTGAATGAGTTTCAGGAGATAGGACTACAAGCCACTTGAGCCAGGTGGCCTTTAAACTATCCATTTAGACTCTATTGTCCTCATTTGGCGCTTACAGTTTTTCTTTGAATAACCCTTCAGGTCCCAAGATTAATACCCACATACTTAATATTTTTAACTTTATATATTAAAATAAGTAATAGATAAATAGTAATTTATGTGCAATAGTTTTAGGACTTTATCTTATATTCTAAAAATTTGCAAATTAATTTCTTAATTCTAATAGTGTTATTTATTTACATAGTTTCCTTGACTTTTCTAATTTATTTATGTGTATTTTTGATTAAAATTATTTCTAAAATATTCTCATCCTTCTTTTTATTATCTGGTTTTGTTTTTACATCAGATAGCCATTGCCAGCATTTCAAGTGTTATATTAAATAGCAACAGTAATCAGGCATATCTTTATCCTACTTCCAGTTTAAGAAAATAATTCTCAAATTTCTGAAGTAAATGTAAATACTTCTCCATTCTACATGTAGACTATTAAGAACCATCTTGTCCACTTTAGTAGTTTAATCAATGGCAAATTTTACTGAATATCTTCCCAGAATTTATTGAGCTTACTTTGTGAGCTTTTGTTTTCTTTCATATTAATCTGATGAGTGCTATTTTTGTGACATAGAAGCACCACTTTGCTGAAGTACCCCTATTTAGTTAGAGCATATTGTTCATCTACTGTAAAACTTTTTAACTTGCCTATAAATGTCCTTTTTTAACTTTTATAATTTGGTAGTAGTTTCATATTTGAATTTAGAACTACATTTTCCCTATTAAGTGAAGTACCCAACATATTTTAGTATATCTTCCAAGGAACACATTTTTAGAAATTTTAGAAATTTGGAATTTCACAGTTATATAAACATTCAAGAACTGTCAATTTTTAAATTGCATAGTAACTTTTGCTATTTCTTCCTCCCTTAACAGTAAATTTATGTTTCTCAAGTCTTGTGTTTACTTGTATCAATTTCATAAATACTTGATCACCAAATGTATTAATATAAACTGGGAATAAAGATACAGACATTATTTAAAATGTTTGTGTCATCAATGATCTTTTATGCATTCATGATTTTACTAATATTTACTTTCTTTTTTATCAATTAAAACAAGTTTTTAAATAAATCATGTCAGTAATTTACTTATTCATTATTTTGAAGAACAAACTTTGGTCTTCAGTGTTATTTTATTCATTTTACATTTTATTTATTCCTGCTCTTAGTTTTATTTCAGCATCTTCATTTTCAACTACATAGAATTTTTATAGAAGATCCTATTTTAAGGATAGCTTATGCTATTTCTATAGAAAGGAAGCCAAATAACATCTAATATGCTTAGTAAAGCCTGGCCTTTACTCCTATAAATGTCAACAAGTTCATGATACTACATAAAAATGAAATTACCTAAGATGGAGCTAAGTTATCCCATAAGTCAATAAACAATTATCAGACTGGATACTCTATCACTGACATATTTAAACTTCTGATTCTGGGACAGAAAAAAAATGCTTTCAAATGTAAGGGATATGTGGAGGCCATGTGAAAGATTGTTAAAGGAATGGTTATATATTTCATATATAAAGTCCCAAACACTAGGTTTGGCCCTAACCTAGTGTTTGGGCCTTTATATGTGAAAGCATAAGTATGCTTTCAAAGGACTTTTAATAAGAATCAATAACTGGATTGACATGATGCAACCTACTGACTCCTATCAGTCTATACACCACCACCTGGGGAAAAAAAAACCCAGAAGATCCTTGCTTCCAGGTGTGACTCACCTCACTCAAGCTCAGCCAACCCTTCTAATTTTAAAGCTGTTCTCTTCAAAGTGCTTTCAAATGTTAATGAGATCTCCAGATGGATATTGCAAAATACCTGTGCCCCTTCATACACTTTCATCATTGGCTCATAAACAACTCTTCTTTTATCTTCAATGTGTTTCAAAGTTTATTTCTGAAACATAAAAATAAAATGTGCTTGTATAATCCTAGAGGTTTTTGTATTTTTGTCTAAAAGCTAGTAAGCTTTGGTTTAGATAAATTTATTTTTGTACCTGAAGTTTACATTTTTGTTGATTACAGAGCTGACAGTTCCTGTCAGATTATACAGCTGAGGATTACACAGCTGAAGTTTATGTTTTTGTTTATTACAGAGCTGACAGGTCCTATAAAAAATAATAAGCAGTCAACCTCACTAATATTTGTCCTTAAGAGATGAGGCTAATACCAGTGTATTAGTCCGTTTTCACACTGCTGATAAAGACATACCCAAGACTGGGTAATTTATTTTAAAAAAGATGTTCAGTGGACTCACAGTTCCACGTGGCTGGGAGGCCTCACAACATGGTAGAAGGCAAAAGGCATGTCCTACATGGCGGCAGGCAAGAGAGATTGAAAGCCAAGTAAAAGAGGTTTCTCCTTATAAAACCATCAGATCTCGTGAGATATATTCACTACCATGAAAACAGTATGGGGAAAACTGCTTCTATGATTCAATTACTTCCCACCGGGTCCCTCCCACAACACATGGGAATTATGGGAGCTACAATTCAAGATGAGATTTGGGAGAAGACATAGACAAACCTTTTCACCCAGCATGGTCTGTGAAGATTATTGGCTCTACCTGTGTGTTGTTAAAGATATGAGGTAGAATAAACAATCAAAAACTTATACAATGTACATTTTATACACAACAGCATACTGAGTGGTTTCCATTGTTTGTCTTCTTTTGCTTAATTGCTGTAAGGTAGAATAGTGTTATGTTGCTGTTTTTCTTTTAAAGTAAAATTCTGGGCATCAAGTGATTGCCACACAACTTGAAAAACACAGTAACAGGAAAGCACTGCAATACAATAAATGTTAGACTGCAAAACCCTACACGAGGCTAGAAGCTCCTTAATGGAAGGAGCCACATCTCGTTCATCTTTGAATTCCGTCTTCCTTAGGACTATCATATGTGGATCTCCACTCCTGTCAACAAGAACCAGCTTCTACTTGTCCATTCAGAGCCTCCAAACAAATTAGAAAAAGGCATCTCTTCCTCGTGTAAAATTTTTAAGTTAGTATTGTATTTATTTCTCAATTATAAAAACTACTGCAAATATAAAGTCATTTTTCGTAAAATTCATAAATCAAATTATTGAACATAAAATATAAAATTCAAAATCATAATCATAATAATTAAGAATACCAGCTAACTACAATATAGTAATTTGTTATAAAATAATTACATATCATGCTTCCTTGGCAAATAAATTTATTACAACAATTTCAATATTTATTTGTAACTGTGTCTCATTCTATAGAAATGACCACTGGTTTAGACTACATATCTTACAATATTCTAGTCCTTAAGTCATGTTTAATAAATTTTCAGTTTGAGAAAACATTTTCCATAGGTTACTGATATTGACAAAATTAAATATAAACCGAGGGCCAGATAAGTATTTGACACTGTCTGCAGTAAATTAAGATTGTATGATTATATCCCATCTAACATGTTATATTCCTCACTATGTATACCAGTTCATTTCTATTGCAAATCTTTGTGTAATTGCAGTAATTCATTCTACAATTTTTCAAAGGTGATATGTAATCTATAATAGTGGTCAGCAAATAATGGCTCACAAGCTGAATCTGACCCTCCTTCTGTTTTTGTACAGCCAACAAATTGCTTTTACATTTTGAAAAGAATAATATTGTAGGACATGAAATTTATATAAAATTTAAATTTCAGTGTACATAAATAAAATTTTATTAGAACACAGCCATATTCATTTGCTTATGCATTGTCTGTGACTATTTGTGCACCATAATGGCAGAGTTGAAAAATTGCAAGAGAGACCATATGGCCCACAGAGTCTAAAATATTTAATGGCTGGCCCCTTACAGAAAGAGTTTGCCAACCACTGATCTAGAACTCTGAAAAGGCCATGATTGTCTTTTAATATTAAAAATGTTTTTAAATGATACTTGTATCATTATTATGTATTAATAGTAACGGTGATATTATATTACGTCATTATATATTATTATAATATAGCTATTAGTGTATTAATTAGTGCATATTATTATGCTTTATTGGAGTATATTGCTAATATTCCACATATTTAGGTAGCTTTAACCACATCATCAGCAATTTCTAAAACAAAATGGCACACACTTCTTAGTTCTTAGTAATGTAATGATATCAACTGGCTTCTCCCTCACATATATGACAAGGATTTTAAATTTTTTTATACTTAGTAAATACATTTTAAACACAATCCAATGTTTACTTAAACTCAAAAGTAGTTTGTTTGTTCTTAAAAGACAATCTCCACTCCACCCCTAGGCAGAAATTCAGATTTTGGGGGCACTCACTCACCTGGATCAGTAGCCTAACCCACCCCACCCATCCTGTGCAGAGATCACAGTGCAGCAAGGCCCTCTTTGCTCCACACTCAGGCAGGTCTCCAGGCAGCTGAAGCATCCACTCTCCTGGATTAAGAATTAAGGCCACTCCCTGATCCACAAGCAGAGAACTTGGAGCTGAAGAGGTTTCTCAGCCCCCATGCTTCGGCACACCTCTGGGTGCTTGGTGGACACCCTCTTGATTCTCCCTCCACACTAGTGCTTATGCCTGCCATCAGGGGACCTATAGGAGAACCTGCCTGGCCTGGTCCTGTCCCTCATGGCCCTCACCCCACAGGACTAAGCAGGCAGTTCAGACCACTGTGCATTCCATGAATCAGCCCATTGCCTGAGGCAACAGAGAGCTTCTTCCAGTAAACAAAGATAAAGTACATACACAGCCATGTCAGTCACAGCCAGCTCTTACCTATAAATGCCACCTATGAGCTGTAGGTTGAGCCACACAGTCCAATATAAAACCTACTGAAAGAAGTGCATAGGGCTACAGAAGCAAAGCCAAAAGACCCTACCTAGCATTTTCTATAGTCACACCCTCTACAGAGATGGAGAAAGGAAAAGAGAAAAACAAAACAACATTAATATTTTAGGGAAAGAAAGAAAAAGAAAAAATCCTACCTGCATGAAAATAATTATAAATATTATAAATCTCAGGGTCTCCAGATGAGAAGAAAGCAGTGTGAAAATTCTGGTACCACGAAAAATCTGAATGTAGTGACACCACCAAAGGAATGCACTAGCTCTCCAGCAACAGTCCCTAACCAATACAAAAATTCAGAAATGACAGATAAGGAACTCAAAGCATGGATTACAAGGAAGCTCAGTGAGATCCAAGACAAGGTTGAAAATCAACACAAAGAAACTTCTAAAGCAATCCAGGAAATGAAGGAAGAGATAAATATCTTAAAAAGAAATCAATCAGAGTGTCTGGAATTGAAAAATTCACATAAGGAATTTCAAAAAATAATGGAAAGCTTTATTAATAGACTAGACCAAGCAGAAGAAAGATTTTCAGAGGTTGAAGACAGGTCTTTTGAACTAACCCAGTCAGGCAAAAATAAAGAAAAAAGAATTTTAAAAAATGAATAAAGTCTTCAGGCAAAAATACAGAAAAAAGAATTTTTAAAAAATGAATAAAGTCTTCAAAATATATGAGATTATGCAAAGCAACCAAATCTACAAATTATTGGCATTCCTGAGAGAGAAGGAGAAAAAGCAAACATCCTGGAAAACATATTTGAGGGAATAAGTCAAGAAAATTTCCCTAGTCTTGCTGGAGAGGTAGACATCCAGATTTAAAAAAAGAGAGAAGATCCAATAAGCACAATCAGAATTGACAAAGATGGTATTACAATTGATCCCATGGAAATACAAAATCTAGGAAACACCATTCTGGACATCAGCCTTGAGAAAGAATATATGACTAAGTCTTCCAAAGCAGTTGCAACAAAAATAAGAAGCAACAAGTGGGACCTAATTAAACTAAAGAGCTTCTGCACAGCAAAGTAACTATCAACAGAGTAAATAGAAAACTTACAGAATGGGAGAAAATATTCACAAACTACATATCCAACAAAGGTCTAAGATCTAGAATATATAAGGAACTTAAACAATTTCAACAAGCACAAAATGACTTTATTAAAAAATGGGCAAAGGAGATGAACAGACACTTCTCAAAAGAAGACATACAAGCCAGCAAACATGAAAAAATGCTCAACATCACTGATCATCAGAGAAATGCAAATCAAAATCACAATGAGATACCATCTCACACCAGTCAGAATGGCTATCATTAAAACATCAAGAAAACAAAATGCTGGTAAAGCTGTGGAGAAAAGATAACACTTATAATGTTAGTAGGAATATTAGTTCAGCCACTATGGAATTTAGATTTCTCAAAAAACTTAAAACTACCATTCAACCCAGCAATCCCATTACTGACTTTATATCCAAAAGGAAACCTATTGTTTTATCAAAAAGACACATATACTCACATGTTCATCACAGCACTGTTCACTATGACAAAGACATAATCAACCTTGGTGCCCATCAATGGCAGACTGGAAAAAGGAAATATGATACATATACACCATGGAATACTCTGCAGCCATAAAGAAAGAATGAGATCATGTCTTTTGCAGGGACATGGATGCAGCTGGAGGCCATTATCCTAAGCAAATTAAACACAAAAATAGAAAACCAAATACCGCATGTTCTCACTAGTAAGTGAAAGCTAAACATTGGGTACCCATGGACCTAAAGATAGTAACAACAGAAATTGGGGACCACTGGGAAGAAGGCAGGGTACTAATTAAAACTAATTATTGAGTACTATGCTTAGTATATGGATGATGGGATCAATTATACCCTAAACCTCAGCATTATGCAATATATTCAGGCCACAAAACTGCACATGTACCTTGCGATTCTAAAACAAAAATTTTTTAAAACACAAAATTTGTGGTGTCAAAAAATATTTTTATACTGCATTGTTAACTATTAATTTTTTTTAGGTTATCATTAGTTTATGTTGGCATGAAATTTTTAAATTTATTTTTAATTAACAAATAAAAACTGTATGTATCATGTACATGATCTTTTGAAATACGAATGTACACTGTGGAATGGCCAAATTGAACTAATTAACATACATATTACCTCAAATATGTATTATTCACAGTAAGAACTCTTAAAAT